GTTGAATAATCCTAGCATTGTTCAAAAGCCAAATTATCTGCTAAGACTCAAGAGAGTCTATTAACTGAACCCCTGCAAAATTAAAAAAATGAAACAAAAACCAAACTGTTAGATAACTATAGTATACATTCCAAAAAGAAGAAATGAGGGCGAAGCAGGGAAGGATCAGACCGAAGCAGGATGGAAACCCTCCAGGGAAAGCACCAAAACCGGAAGCTCCATGCCTGGCATCTGGTGCTTGTAAAGGAGTCAGCTGAACTCCACAGGGGTTGCATAACCTTGCCTGTCCTTCTGTCTCTGTCACTTGTAGCACATACAGCCTCTCACTTGGCCTTACTATACTGCATGCCTGCAGCTTTCTTTCCAGGACTTCTTGTGTCCTGGGGTCTCTATTGGAGCTCAGGCTTTAATTTCCAAGGTTAATGTAATGGCTTCTTGGTGCCTCCTTGTCCATCCAACCCTGTTACTCTCCCTGGCCTTAGTGGCTTTCTGGAACATTTCACAGGCCTTTATAAACACTTCCTTTTGCATTTTTCATTCCTACAAAACTAGTACCACGTAGACAATAATGCCAAGTCCTATTGCCAGTTTAGATGTAGCCTGACTCCTTGGGCTAGAGTTGGAGCCACCTCTGTGCCTTTGCAATTGAATCTGAGAAAGCGTTGTGTTAGGTGGATCCCTTCAGCAGCGTTCCCAGGTCAGTCTTGACTCATTCAGGTGAATTTGGGTTTTTCACAAGATGAGGTGGGCCCTCAGTGGGTGATGGCTTGCCCTCCAGCACCTTTCCTGACCCACTGCAGACTAGAGGTCTCTTTCTAGTGACACCAATCTCTAGCAAAGACACTTTGTCTGCACCATCATTGTCTACAAATTTAAGCTTGCATTCCTTTCCTCACAAAACTGCACACTTTGTCTTTCTGCTTCATGTGTTTTCTCCCTGTAGACCAGTGACTGTTTCATGGCCTGAATGTTACTCTGCTTGAAATTTCCTTGAGAAATAAATTAATTCATTAGTTTTGAATTCAGTCTTGCTCAGCATCTCAATATAGGTGCAGAATGTAGCCAGATTCTTTGCCACTGTTTAACAAACATGACTTTTAACTCAGTTCTCAGTAGAATCCTTGCTCCCTTCTGAAAGCTCGTGGTCTTTTAAATTCTTAGCCTATTAGTGTGGTGGTATTGTGTTCCCCAAAATATTGTACACCCTAATAAATTTATCAGAGACAGAACAGCCACTAGATACAAAGGCTAGAAAATGGTGGCACTCACACCTTTAATCCTAGCACTCCAGAGGTAGAAATCCCTCTGGATCTCTGTGAGTTCAAGGCCACGTTGGAAACGGCCAGGCATGGTGACACACGCCTTTAATCCCAGAAAGCGAGCCTTTAATCCCAGGGAGTGGTAGTAGAAAGCAGAAAGATATATAAGGCGTTAGGACCAGAAACTAGAAGCATTTGGCCTGGTTAAGCATTTGGCTGGTTAAGCTTTCAGGCTTTTAGCATCACAGTTCAGCTGAGAGCCATTCGGATATGAGGACACAGAGGCTTCCAGTCTGAGGAAACAAGATCAGCTGAGAAGTTGGCCAGGTGAGGTTAGCTGTGGCTTGTTCTGTCTCTATGATCTTCTAGTGTTCACCCCAATAACTGGCCTCAGGTTTGATTTTATTAATAAGAACTTTTAAGATTCATGCTACATATTAGTCTCTAGGTTCTAGTAGGCCTCTCTAGTCTGTAGCTCCACACTCTTCTGTTTCTCCTGCAGAACAGTTCCAAATGCTTAAGAACCACATGGTAATATTATCCACAGTTTGTGTGTGTGTGTGTGTGTGTGTGTGTGTGTGTGTGTGTGTGTGTGTGCGCATGCATGCATGTGTGCGTGAGTGTGCACTGAATCATTTGTGTAGTTCTCTTCTTTTTAGGAATCACCATACCTCCTACACTTATATTTCTACTAATAATGCCCAGAAGCGCCCTTCATCAACACTTTCAGTTTTCTGTTTTTGTTTTATGTTAATATCCTAATGATGGTGTCTTTGTATAGTTTTGATTGGGTTTTTCTGTTTTTTTTTTCCTCTTAAAAACAATTTAAAAATTAATGTGTTATGTATGTGTCTGTATGTGGGTATTTGCATGTGCACACAAATGCTCCCAGAGGCTAGAGGTCAACCTTAGGTATCATTTCTTATGGGCTATCCACTTGTTCTTTGAAGCTGTATTAGTACAGGCGAGTTTGTAAAAAGAAGCTTATGTGACTCATGCTTCCGAGAAGGCCGAGAAAGTCTAGTAGGCATTCAGTTCCAGAGAAGAGCTTCATGTTGAGATGGCCGGCATCAGGGGTTGTAGAACGTTCTGCATCACAGGACTGAGCCTGGCCTGGTGTGGCCTGTGTGTCAAAGAACATGGAAGCAGGAAGCAGATAGGAACATAAACTAATACCCCTTCCCTATTCTGGCGCTCTGCCACAGCAGGTACTTGTCAGTTCTTTGTCCTAAGAGACAGATTGGGATGTGTGTGACCCAATTGAGGCAGGGAGGGAGAGAAAGGAGGTAGGTAGCTATAGGACCTGGGATCTAGGTAATAATTTTGTTTTATGAGACAAGATATTTTAATAGGACCTGTGGCTTTCTGATTACAGTAGAGTAGCTGGCTGGCAAGCCCCAAGGATCCTCCTGTTGTCACTCCAGTTTTGGGGTTACAAGCAAATGTTACCGTGCCCATGTTTGTGTGTGGGTGCTGAGGGTCAAACTTGAGTCCTCATGCTGTGTGACAGGCACTTCGCTGACTAAGCTGCCTCGTCAATCCCTAAAACAAGACCTTAAAAACTGTAACACCATACTGTTATAAGACATTAACAATAATTCCTTAATAGTGACATCCAACTTTCTTAGTTAGGGTTTCTGTTGCTTTGAAGAGACACCATGATCACAGCAACTCTTAATAAGGGAAACATTTAATTGGGGCTGGCTTACAGTTTCAGAGGTTTAGTCCATTATCTCCATCAGACATGGTACTGGAAAAGGAGCCAAGAGTTCTACATCCAGATCAGCAGGCAGCAGGAAGAGAGAGAGAGAGAGACACTGGGCCTGGCTTCTGAAACCTCAAAGCCCACCCAGTGACACTCTTCTTCCACCAAGGCTACACCTCCAATAATGCCACTCTCTGAGTCAGTGGGGGCCATTTTCATTCAGACCACCACACCAACTTATGTTCATATTTCTGTTTTCCCACTGTCCTAGTTTTCTTTCTGTTACTTTGATAAAATACTGACAAAAAAAAAAAAAACAAAAAACCAAAACAACTTTGTTGTGCTTGTATCCCAGTGTTGCAGGCTATCACATTCCTTGGGTGACCTGTTTTTTTTATAAGTTGAGAGTTGGATCTAAAATGATGAGGCTGGCTTTCAGTGTCGATACTCTTTGGCAAACATGTTGAACATTCTTTAGACTTTAGACTTTCTGCAAGAAGTATGACAAGCACCAGCCGCACAAAGTGACGAATTAGAGAAAGGCAGAAGACTCTTGGTATGCCTAGGGAAATTGGCACTGTGACAGGAAACAGTGTGACTGCAATGGGCGGACTAAGCCTATTCTCAATAAAAAGGCTTAAGACTACAGAGAAGAGTGTGTCGAGCCTGACTCTAGATCTAAGGGAATGCTGGCCATTAAGAGATGTGAGCATTTGAACTGGGAGGCTGTAACAGGAGAAAGGGCCAGTGGTCCAGTTCTAAGCTGATTTTGTTATAAAGACAATAAAATCACAAGCTTTTACTCAAAGCAAACAAAAACCCATGAGACCGGATTCTTTATTTTTATTTTTTCCTGACTCTAATAGGTACTTCAAGCCTGTCTGTCTTTTAGAGATGCTAACAGTTGTTGATGTTTAATAATTCATTGCAAGTTAAAAAGTGGTGACACTTTGGTTCTAGCACTCATTTATTTAGTAGGTTTAATAACTTAAGAATGAAAAATTTCTCTTTGTCTGTTCTTTGTCTACCAAATGATGTGGTCTGAATAGAAAGATAGAAACAGGTTCTTTTAACTGGGCAGTTGTGGCACTCACACCTTTAGTCCCAGCACTTGAGAGGCAGAGGCAGACAGATCTCTGAGCTCTGGCTGTCCTGAAACTATGAAGACCAGGCTGACCTCAAACTCACAGACATCCACCTACCTACCTCTGCCTCCTGAGGGCATGTACCACTACCTCCTCAACCCCAACACATTTTTTTTTTCAAGATAGTCTCGCTGTATAGCTCAGACTGGTCCTGAAGTTTCCACCTTTTCACCTTTTATCATTGTGATTTTAGGTATTTGGGGAGTTAACTTTCTGGCTTTTAAAGTTAGATGTATATTGAAGTAAAAAAAATCTTAATCTAACATTTTGGTTTGGTGTAGGGGGAATGGCTTCTTGCGTAATGAAATCACTCTATTAGCAAAGTTCCTGGATTTCGTTTCCTCTATGGAAGAAATTCTGTTCCGTCAATGATCACCTTCTTTGTGGTTTAAGCGAACATTCCTATTTTCTGTGCTTTAAAACCATGTTGTCTGGTTGCTCTGTGGTTGGTTTGTATTGTAACCTTTGCTGTGCCAAAGGCTAGTTTTGTGGCTCATGTTTCACATCCGTAGTTCAACCTGTAATTTAGGGAGGGGTAGGAAGCAGTGGGTTTCCCCCTTTCCGTGTATTTCACTATGTTAAACTTGCAAATGGTGATAAAAAAAAAAGTGGAAAGGTTGTTGTGGAGTTGTTTAGACCTAAGGGGATGAAATTAGTAAGTTACCAAATGAAGAAATTTATTTTCTCTTACAAGATTTTTTCTACCTACGTAGATCTGAATTCTGTTGTTTCTTTGTTTTGTGTGAGTATGGGGGGATACGGCTAGATTTTACAAAAGTACACGATATGCCGGGAAGTGTGTTTTTTAGAAAGTAAAAGGAAGTTGATGAAAACTTGGGCAGACAGTTGTTGTGGAGTCCTAAAATAAATCACTTTTATTCATCCATACAGAAAACAAGCATGAGGCCAAGAGGAGGCGAACAGAGAGAGTTAGGAGAGAGAAGATAAATTCTACAGTAAATAAGGATTTAGAAAACAGAAAGAGATCTCGAAGTAACAGCCATTCAGATCATATCAGACGAGGAAGAGGAAGACCTAAAAGTACATCTGCCAAAAAACATGAGGAAGAAAGAGGTATGGCTAAGTCCCGGCAGCCCTGTTCAAGTAGTAAATTGATAAGAGACGTAATTAGAACGTGGTGGAAGCTTTGAGCTGTTGGACTTAAAAAATACTACAACTCATAGTTTGTGAATTGTGAAAGAAAAAAAAGTTTTTGTTTTTTTTTTTTAATTGCAGTGCTGGGTTTTGAGTCCAGTACACAGGCCAGATAAACTTCTACTACTGAGCTACACTCTGAGCCCTTATATTCCTAGTTTTAAAATCAAAACAAAACAAAACAAAAAAGCAAATTCTTCCTAGAAACCTGAAGGCTTACATTAGGTAAAATCCACATTGTTAACTGGTAGTAAAAAAGTTCAAAGATAATTGTATATATATGTCTTTCAGATATCAATAAAAATGATTGTACCTTTTTTTTTTTTTTTTTTAAAGACTGGTCTAAGCAGTTATTTTAAACTGTTTTTACTGTGGATTTAAAACATCTTTTTAAAGTGATGTTTGGTATGCATTTTTTAATTGCACTTTGGAAGGTTTGCATGCTTCCTATACAACTGGCATAGTATGTTCTTGATCCAAAGAGTGTTCTGTCTCCCCTTACAAGTCTTTTTCTTTTGATAAGTAGTGTTTCTACTCATATGTTATTTCTAGACTTCTGCTTCTCTTTTCCCTTATTTGTACATCTTTTAGAAAGTTTTATCATGGAAAAATTTCAGCATATAAAAGAGCAAGAAGTAGCCTGGGGTTAGAGGGGTGGGGTGGTGCAGAGACATGTGGAATTCTGAGTTCCAGGCCAGCCTGGTCTACAGAGCTAGTTCTAGGACAGCCAGAGTTACACAGAGAAACCCTGTCTCAAAAAGACACGCCCCACTAAAGTGTAAGAAGAATGATATGATGAGCCCCTGTAATACCTGTATGAAAATTGAGACTTTGAAGCCAATAATTAGTGGAGTTGGGTAGCTGCTCTTTGTATTTATTTAGAACCCTCAGCCAAAATGATTTCATCTTCAGTGAAAGAAATTTATAATTATTATTTGTTAGTTATGTTTTGCATATCTTTGGATATTTAATTTTGATAGACAAATATTTTCTATATAAATACAAATGTTATTTGAGACACAGAATTATTCATGATTTTTCTGGTATATATAGCTCTCTCTAGCTTTTACCAAAATGAAAAGTGTCTTGATACTGTGCAGTTAAAGAAATAAAGTTCATAATGAATTATTGTATAAGGTTTCCCTTAGGTATGCCTCAATTTGTTGAGCAAGCTTACTCTTTCCTTCTGCTGTACTCTTCCAGGCACTTTGAGTTATTTAAATAGGTGTTTTTAGCAATGAGGTCATCAGAATATCTTATTTGAAAGACGATTTTGGACTAGAAACTGGACAAGAAAAGTCCACAGAGAAGAAAAAAAAAGCAGCTCTACTTGGTCAGAAAACAGAACATTGTTTTCAACTGAAGTGAAGGGAATATAGCTGAAAAGAAACGGGGAAGGAATGCTTCTGGTTATGACGGCTGGGGAAACAAAGGCTGTATTGTTGAGCATGTCTGTGTTCTATGGATGCAGCGTTGAAAATGTAGTTTATTATTACTTGAAAAAGGAAGTATTTCTTTGCCAGTGAATATTTTTTTTCAGATATTTTCTGTTTAAGAATATTTTTGGCTGGGAGTAGTGGTGTATGCCTTTGATCCCAGCATGTGGGAGACTCGAGACAGGTAGATCTCTGTTTTCCAAGAAGGCCTTGTTCCTCCTAACCCCCAGTTCCTGGAGCTTGAACCTGGGACCTTTACAGAACTACACCCCTACAAGCCAAATTATTTAAATTTTTTTTTTGTTTTTTTGCTTTTGATAAAAATTTCAGGAAATTTTAGGGTATAATCTGGGTTTTTCACCCCTTCTTTTAAAAAGATGGCATCTTGCTATTTAACCAAGGCTCTCTAACCAAATTTTCTGACTCAAGATCTTTTTGTATTACCCTGCCAAGAGCTGGGATTATAGGCATATCCCATCACATCTGGAATAAAGTGGAATCTTTTATGTACATGGGACCTCAGTAAACTTTTTCTGTAAAGAGCTCAAACATAAATATGTTAGGTTTTGTGGGCCATGTAGTGTCTCTGTCTCAACTACTGAACTCACAGTGTATGAGTGAAGAAAGCTGTGTTTTAGTAAAACTTCATAAAAACAGGAAGATGATATAGTTCATTGGTCTCTAAATATAACACAACTAATGATGTCCATGCGTTTTATAAAAGACCTCTTACTAATGCTTTGTAGGGCTAAGCAGCTGGTTAATTTAATTTTGTCTTTATTGGTCCCTTGCTGTTCAGGAACTTGAAAACTTTGAAGTAAGCCTAATTTTAAGTTATAATTGAATCTTAACACAATGAATTAAGAAAAACTTGACACTATATAAAAATATTTTAATTGACTTTATTGCTATTTTGGGGAAAAAAAGACTAGGAAGAGGAGAAAATGGAAAAGGAAAGTCCTTTCTTTACCCAGTAGGTCAATACTTTGAAAAGGAAATGAAAAAGCAGTCTTGGTCTAGGGAACCAGCAGTGATAAGGTGGGCAAAGGCAGTATAGAAAAAGCTCAGGGAGACTAAGGTTGAACATGGGGAATACTGAGTTCTCTGACCAGGCTTCTATCTTACAGGTAAGAGAGACCAGAAGCAGTCTTCCTAGGGAACTGGAAAAGCCCAGGAGAAAAGACCTACAATAAACATACTGTTACTTAGGAGTTCACAGAGATGTACCTAGTAGACCACAGCTACAGTCAGGTCTCCCATATTCACATGCTGCTTCTTATCGGCCTTTTTTGTACTTTTACATATAAAATCACTAGAAATTACTGAGATAGCTAGAAGAAAGCATCTAGTAGAAAAGATCAAGAATAAATAAAAAGGAGAAAAAGGTACTGGGGAGAGAAAAAGTGTTTTTCAGGGAAAGGAACCAGTGTTAACATCCTTAATAAGAAAGAGATGCTGCCCTGGCGGGAGGAGCAACATGAGCCTTGAGAGGCAGCGCAGGGGAAGACAAAACATGCCTGGAAACAGCCTTCAAGGGTTGCTTTAAAATACGAAAACCGCCAAGACGTGAGTCACAAAATGAAAAAGTTTAATAGGTTTAAAGATAAAATTGAAGAAAAACTCCAGGAAGTATAGAAATAGGAAGAGATGGAGAAAACAGAAGATATGAAACTTAAAGGACCAATGTGAAAATCTACTGACTACAAAGAGTTTCAGAAAATAGAATGTAGAAGATGGAAGACAAGGAAAATTTCCCAAACCTGAAAGACACTAACAGGGCCCCTGCAATTCCCAATCCAGTGGAAGGTCAAAAATTAGAACAAAACATATCACTGTTTGGTTAAAAGAAAATAAATGCTTAGATTTTTTTAGACAAAAAGAATAGTTAAAATATTTGAGTGAGTACAGTGGAATACTGACTAGCAAGAAACAGAGTACCTCTGTATGAACAGCACTAAGGAAGTCTTAAAACAAAAGAAAAGCTACATACAATATATGATTGTCATTAAAGTTCAAGAAAAACCTAAATCAGCCAGGCAGCGGTGGCGTAAGCCTTTAGTCCCAGCACTCGGGAGGCAGAGCCAGGTAGATCTCGTGAGTTCGAGGCCAGACTGGGCTACCGAGTGAGATCCAGGACAGGCACCAAAGCTACACAGAGAAACCCTGTCTCGAAAAACCAAAACAAACAAACAGAAAAACCCAAAATTGATTATGTTCCAAATAAGGGCAGTGTGAATAGTGAAGAGTGACTGGAAAAGAACGCGAGGAATGAACGGAGTGAAGGAAGGTCTCTGGAGTGCATTAGCTACTCTTCTGTTGCTGGGATAAATGCCGTGACTAGAAGCACCATAGAGAAGAGTTTGTTTGGACTTACGCTTCAAGAATGCTAAGAGCATCATGGTGGAGAAGTGTGGCAGGTGTAGGGGCAGGAACAGGATGCAGAGCTCACGTCCTCACCTGTAAGCTCGAAGACCACCCCTCAATGTCATACTTCCTCCATCGAGATGACATCACCTAAATCTCCTCCAACAAACTGAGAATGAAGAGTTCAAATGCCCAAGACTGGGAGGCATTTTTCAGTCAAAACAACATACATGTCTTGATTAATATTTGGGATGCATGAATATATGCATCTGTCAGCACATTTTGATTCTAAAGGATTTGTGCATTATTTCATGGCATGTAAATTTAGCAGTAATTAAAATAACTTTAAAAGGTTTGCATTTTCTCAACAGCGATACCAGTGGTCAGAAGACAATTCATTTAATTAATAATTCTAAAGGGAAATTACAAATCTTTTTCAACCAAACTACAGCTTACTGTGAAAATAGACTAATGATACTTTGTGATATTCAGGGTTTCAAAAAGTATGCTACCCATACTCCTTTCCCAGGAAGCTGCTGAAAGTTGCACGCACCACAGAGAAGAAGAGAGCCAAAGAGGAATACTGGGATCTAGAACAAAGAGCAGCCAACTCAAGAAAGATGGTAGATCTCCTTTTGAGGGAGGGCCACAGGATAATAATTGCCCTGTGATCCTAGAGAGCAGCCATTTCAGATGAAGCAGGTGGGGAGACTTGCAGAGACCTTTCCATGACGATAAAATTATGTGTGAACATCCTGAAGATTTGTACACCTGGAACAGTTTGAGTTGAGTTAGACATGCTAAGCAAACTGAAGAATCAGTTGAGGCTGTGAAATGCTCAGCAGGTAAAGGCCCTTGCTGTCAAGCCTGAACCACCTGAATTTGAGTTTTGAAAGCCACCTGGAAGGAGAGAACAGACTCTAGTCATCCTTTGTCTCCACTTGTGTGCAGTATCACACATGGGCACACACTCAGTTAAATACATAGGATTCTGCAGAGAAAACTAGTACTTCAAAGAAAGGAAAATCACCCACAAAATCATAATGTAGACGTTGAAAATTGATGGGCTGGAGAGATGGCTCAGTGGGTTAAGAGCACCGACTACTCTTCCAGAGGACC